AGTCTTAAGGAGTTTATTACAGCTGTGTCTGCCAATAGTTTTCTCAAACGAGCGACGAGGGAAATACATCGTCTGAAAACGTACAGACGCTCTTAGCTAGTAATTCTCTGCTACATTGCCACGGCAACAATCATGAGAGACTCGCGATCATAGTGGTTAAGTTTGACACTCCAACCTCCGCTTCATACAACATCTTCTAAACCCGTTAACGATGTTCCCAAATTTGGGTGTACACATCATTGGATATAATCTAATACCCTGATATAGAAAACCTCTTTATCTAACGAATTACTGTATGATTTATTAGCCGATCCATCTACAGCCGACCAGGTGAGGTCGGCTTATCGCTTTGATCTGAGTAAGGAAAGGTGAGACATCAATACTAACACACCACACTTGACTTTTGTCTCTGGATATTGGGGACGAGCGTGGGTAATTAAGGATCATACATGTACATTATTTGAGAAGAAGAGTAGGGTAGCGATCGAGATGGGGTTAGGGGGAGGTGTGGAGACAGCCCACGTGCCAGTAATGCTGGGTTTAGGGTAGTGATAACGAGGAGTGGGGTGAGACGGGGTGGCGATATCGGACTATTGTTAAGTGTACACGAAGAACTGCAGATCGCCTTACACGCACTGTTCTTCTGGTGAGCTGATCGATCTCGCGACAACAGCTTCGTATTGATCAAATATTAAGAAAGGTATATACAATATGTGAGACTGTTATGTACACTCGCGACATATTGTACAGATTGTCTTCAGGACGTGTACATGCAGTGCCTTTAGCCTCTGGGCAATTATTGGGTAATTTGGGGGTATATTTTCTGCCTCTGCTCATAAAGATCAGTTCATCTTTCAAATATGGGCATCAGATGTATGTTTTGGGAGTAGTGTCACAGACACGATATTGCGATGTCTCCTTGCATTGACATGGTCACATCCTTATATGCCCAGACAGTTTCAATTGAAAAGTTGCTTATCAGTCGAAGCCTATCATCATTGGTAGGCGTGAGACATGAGAGGCATGAAAATGTATTTTTGAAAAATACGCATAGTTGTTTCATGTAGTTGTGCAAACGAGTTCAATGTTGTTTTTACGAATTAATAATGAAAGAGAAATAATTGTTTCTGAAACTTCAATCATCAGTACATTAAAGTGAAGGGGGATATGAAAATACACACTGGTGTTCGACACTGGTTAAAAATACAACACATAAATCGCCTACACATTTGCGTTTATACAGAGAGTTTCATCAATCACTACGACATAAAGATTCCATGGATATGTGTTTCTGTAATATGAGTAAGACACAAATAACCTCTACATTACCCTGTTTCTCAGTTTCCAACACTTACTAACACGACAGGGACCAAACAACCTCTATATGCAAACTATGTTGTAAATATGACATCTGTAACTGTCACTACAGTATCCAGTAGGAGTTTGGGATGTACTCGTCATACAAACTGCATCTTTCTAGTACATACCTGTCATTACTTTATTAAATACCACACTTACGTGCCCTAACCCGTTATAGCAAATTAAACGTTGAAGAAAAGCCTTAATAAAATAATATTGTATTCAAATATTTGATAACTGACTTTATAAAGATGTATTTTATTAAATGCTTAAGTGACTTAGGAACAAGTTGCTACCACTAACAAAACACTCATTTGAAACGGTGAATAATGAATAGAGAAAAGCCAATCATAATAGCATATATAGTATGTTCAACCATTGAATTAAATATACACAAATAAACGCTAGTACATTTCATAAACTGTGTATTCATCAGCCGGATAGCACAGTCTACTCTCTCTTCGCAACTTCAAGCAAAAGCTATTGGAGCAATTACAAAAGAAATTCCTCCACGCATATTTTTCAAAACTCAAAAAGGTTTTTCATCTTGTCCACAAATTACTTTTCTATGACCTCAATGACTTGCCTTACCTTGCATTGGTGCAACAAACACAGCTATCACAGCATATCATTGCCCTTCACAAACATATTGATATATTTATGATTTAAGAAAAACTAAAAATGTAAATAAAAAGAAAACAGGCATTACGAATAACTATTATTCCTTTAATTTGAAATATTTGGATTGTAACAAATCCGTGGGGTTCGCTACTAAGATAATGAGATTCAGCAAGTTTAGTTTCAAATAAACAAGATCATATTGTTGCTGTTACACACAACATGACCAATTAATTGACCTTAAAAAGTGCAATATGCACAATGTGAACACGTAAAATGGATAAAAAATATCTTTTTATTGTAGATGTTTAGGTTTGTATTCAATAATTTAATTAAGAAAGTAAAATATATATGTAAAATATATGAACGCCAAAGAACCACTTGTTAAGGATCTACTTATAATTGCCTTTATGATACTTGTTCAAGATGCCTTAGTTACAATGGCTTAATACTCAACTGATCAGTTTAACTTGGTGGATTCATATTAATTCATTTTTAAAACATGCACATGTCACTGATTGGAACATATTTGTTCATCTGAAATAATGCATATTTACGTGTAAAATGTATTTTGAGTTACACTTAAAATGCATGGCTGAAAGTCACAATGCAAACAATTATGTATATGAAAGATATTTTCTCCGATTGAGTCTTCTCGATATTACCCACGAGCAATTGACGCCTCAACAAGTTTTGCCTCATTATACGTATCCTTCCAGCTGATATGAACATTAATCTCATGTCGCTCCCTGGCTGTAGCCACAGACAGAAAATATTGATTTTGCTACAGTGTACAGTGTAAATAATGATTTCAACAATTAGTTTCACATTATCTACAGACACATTTAAATTCACACTTACATGTATATAATGTTGTCGGTGATTTGAATACAATCAATTCCAAATAAACATCTTGGGTAATATTTCTCATTAAAGCTGTTTTAAGTTACTATTCTAATTCATCCTAAACGTGTAGAATTTTAGGGTCTCGTAAGCAAAACAATGCCTTGACGCACTGTATATCATGTTTATTTTTTAATGCATATTTAATAACAAATATTCTTCTACTAATACGGTATAGTCAGCAATGTGATTACGTCATACATATCCATTGAAGATTCAGGGTTAGAATTTGTCTTCAACATCTCATGCTCATCGTAAGAGGCGACCAGCGGGACCGGGTGGTCAGGCTCGCTGACTTGGTTGAAGCATGTCATCGTATCCCATCGATCGATGATCTAAGATGTCAGTCACTGGATTGTCTGGTCCAGATCCTATCATTTGCAGACGGCCGTCATATATAGCTGGAATAGCTCGAATACTGCTGAATGTGGCGTTAAACATCAAACAAAGCATTATTCATATATATTTCCACACTTACTTGACGCGCTTGTAATTGATAGAATACACAAAGTTTCTTGGATGTCAACATAATATTCGCATAAGCACATAACTGTTATAATCTGATGTCATCATCATAAAATGTACATACTTTTGTCTCGGATGATACAGAATGACGTCGTATGTGAATATACACGATGCAGGTAGTTGATTTATGAGACACATACTATGAAACATACTCTAAACAAAAAACAACATACCTGTAAAAATATTATCGCAGAAGTAAATTGGGGTTATTACAGCTATTGTGAAATGAACAAATAGTGTGGTACCACTACTGAGCGTGCGACAATGGCCGAGCGTGTAAGGACATGGCTTTTTGTGCGTCTCAGTGGAGAGTAAACAAACCGTCAAACTATTGTATGCTTGTCTCCGTAACCGTCGTCTCTAAATCCCGTGTCACAGCCGCACCCCCGGGGTCTAGACACCCCCTCCCCCTGTGGCCGACGGAGGAAAGAGGACAAGGTCCAGAATTACATAGATAAGTTCCAATCAGTGTTATGATAAGCCCATCCTAATTGACCCGTTTACAATGAAGATTATACACATATATTAACACGTCAATAATTGCTTGCTTGCCAGGAAATGCGTGTAGAAATAACTGACAGAGAATTGTAAAATAACAATTTGTGATTAGTATATTGACGGGAACACAAGCCATAAGCTCAATATAATGTAATATGCAGTAGTTATGCATTACACACTTCACAATGTTAATTACATGTTAAAAAAAACAATATTAACACATTTTAAAATCACAGCAGGTTGTACAAAGTTAAGATTGGTAAAAGCTTGGGTAAGGTTGACTGATGCAATAGTTTTGCCACCTGTTTATGAATCAAAGTTTTAATTTTTGTATCATATCTATGTGTAATAACTTATGTGATAAACCCCAATCAAACCTGATATCCATGTATACGCGAGTGGCAGAATACAGATTTCCCAATAATGTAATTTCAATCAAATCAAACTTGATACTGACTGATAAAAACAGCTTCACGCCGCAGCATAACTGAACATTGCCTTCCGCTTTATGTAGTTTGTACAATGCTCTTTTCTCGCGTTTCCTGTGAGTTTATGAACAAATATGAGCGCGTGTCATTTAGGCACATTACACGGTGTGTCGCATTTACTAATGCGGGCTTTTCACAAGGGAAAGTGGGTTAAGTCAAGCGTAAAGTGATATAGGGACAGACAGGCAAATTTCCCTCTGTCTCATCAAGTTGAACTTGCAAACATGACGTCCTTATTCCTGGTACTCTAATTGATCTCAACTACCCGGGTCGGGCAGCATAACCAATCCGCGATGCCTATCTGGCTAATCTTCTACCACTCTTGAGTTTATCTGCTAAAGAAAACTGCTATTGTTGACGGGGATCACATACTGTTTTCTTCACTGAAGCGAATCTTGACGTTTAACTTCATTGTTAGACACCGCCATATTGGAAACCTTGGCTCCTCCGTGTTATTCTAATTGTCCCTATTTGAGCCGACCAATGAGATCCCCGCTTCTATCGCATACACGATCGTCGATGATTGGAGAGGCGTGGTGTACTGGAGGATTCCTCTTTCATTAATCCGATTAGCTTTTGTGTTTGGCCAATCAGTGATTTTGCTTGAAGTTGTCACTCGTTTAATCCAGGGACACTTATTATTTTGTGATTATCACCGCAAATGGTAGATGAAGTCAGCCATTGACGAAACCACTAACGTGCGCTCATGTTGATTTAGATACACACCTTTCATCCTGCAGCGAGCACACTCTCGAATTTCACGTGGCTCTCCATTAGTTTGTGTCACCCCTTTGAAAGAAAGGACGTGAGTTTAGAGGGTACTGACCAGTACATATTTATCCTCTCTACTGCCTTCATTGCCAGTTGTTTGTCCGCTGGGAAACGGAACGATCGACATTAAGCAGGCGACAATAATATAACCAGACTACATTTGAAATAATTTTTTTCAATGATATTATTTCATTGAACGTTCTCTTGGAGTCAGGGAAGCCTTCTTGGAATTCTAAGTGTGAAACAAGAAAACTTTTAAACATGTCCGAGGAGCAACCAAGGCCGAAAAGTCCCGTGTCTGTCACGCCCAAGTCGTCCTTCTCTATCAGCAGTATCCTCGGGAATGATACCGACAAAAAGGAGGACAAGTCATTAGAAACAGAAGACAAAACCAAAGAAACAAAGGATGCTGTGATTTCTAGTATATCCGACATTTATGCCAAATACCAAGCTTACTCAGACGCCGCCCTCACTGCACGTGCAAGTTCCTTCAACTTCTGGTACCCGTGGTATTCCTCATTCGTCCATTCACAAGCAGATGTCAATGGTACGTATTTCAAGCAAATAAGTCAGATCTTTTGTATCATTTAAACACGGTATTAGAATAATGTACACGTATAAATACATGCCGTTGTGTTCCTAGAAAAAGAATTCACGTTATTTTACAGCGTGTCTCTAAATACGAATAACAGATTGACTGAATATAAAAAGAATTTTAACAATTAATTTCTATGATGAGAGGGTTTTTAATATGCGTATTTCCATCCGGTTCGTATAAGGGACGTCGTCACTTAAACTTAATAACTTCAATATCAAATAATCTAATTTAGACAAACGCCATCTCGTGGTAGTATTTGTAAAGGGTCTGATACATCAAACAATATAATTTTTGTCTTCTTATCCTCATTCATAAATAAATAAATAAATAAATAAATAAATAAATAAATAAATAAATAAATAAATAAATAAATAAATAAATAAATAAATAAATAAATAAATAAATAAATAAGGGCGTATTAAGAATGCCCACGTCGCTTCATATTGCATAAAGTACACAGGTTTGTCAAACTGATATCAAAACTAGACGCATTGTTATGAATATCTACCTTATATTTTGTCAGTAAGATGTGCATGTAAACCTATTGTTTTGACTTGCAACATACTAATACAATGTTTATGAAATGAATTATCATTTAAACATGTGAACCTTTCCTAATATAAGAGGTAAAGTTTATGATAAGTTAATCGAATGATAAAATATACATTGCCGATGATATCAACTTTAAAAATATTTTTTTCAGCGTCCCAACTAAATGTGTTTGTATTTGATAAATATTTTTCAAGTTACAGCTTATTTAATTGATCATGATCGGTTTCTTTACAATAACATTTAAAACAGTTGAAACTGAACTGATATAGAAATATCCCCACAATTTATTAATTTGGCTTTAAATTTGTATGCTTTGATTCAATTGTATCAACTGTTTATCTTTAATATTCTTATTGTCAACAGAGTAACGAAGCTTAGCAATCATTCAGCCATGAATAATTAAATGCATGTTTGTGGTTATGTCATAGTGAATTTAGTCCCACGTTTAAAGTGATTTGTAGATGTTGTCAATTGGCGTGTGACTACACAGCGTCTAGTCCTAAAAAGTCAATATACTTGTCACGGTAAATCATTCAAAGTTTTCTTGATGCTAGTTTCTTTGCGAAATATTAACTCCAAAACGAACACCTGGGTCATCCGTTCTGGTAGGCCAAACGAACGTAGAAAATATAAAAGGAATTCATAGGCTGTTTGAGTGCCTTGTCGTTCTGAAGCAGTTTTACAAAGAAAAAGCTGAATAATAGTAAAAGGGGACTTCAAGCTTGCGGACATCACCAGATAATCAAATATGCAACCACAAAGCAAACAGAATCAAGCATGAAATGACAAACAGACAGACGTTTAAAACAAGTGTTCTCATGGAGACATTTTTTTTTATGCAAACATTCATCAGAAGTCATATTCAACATTTATCAGTAATATTCTAAAAGTCAGTGAAAAAAGATTTGTATGGCAATATAACATTTTATGTTTATAACAGAGAATATTGAAATAAATGCAAAAATATGTTATCTTATACAAAATACAATACAATAAATCCTTTCTGACTGATTTTAGTTTGTGTTTCGTGTAGAATAATGAAGTATTTTGCGGTTGACCACTTGTTCCCGTGATTATTAATAATTCATTGACATCAAGCATATGATGCGAAGAATATACATTACGTGGTTATGAAATTATGTAATCCTTAACAGAAACATTGGCTTTCTTTCCCAAATACTACCTTTGTTGAAACATTTCGCTGCAGTTGCTTATCGCTAGTCCTTCTGCTGATTAGTTTCAGTGTGAAATCAAGATAATTTAATTTCAAAATTCACTATAACTAATATTATATTTTCCCAATATAGAAAAACTTGATTGTGTGGAATAGTCTGGTAAATAGTTTTGTAAACTATTGAGATGGGGACATCAATACCTTTCTCACACTAAATGTTCCTGTGCGTAATAAATATCAACTTCTAATTCACTGTCTTGACGAGCATGCTGTCTTAAAATGAGAAATGGGAAAAAGCAAGAATCTTATAAAAGAGTTATCCCCAAATTAAAAAGAGAGAGTAAAGACTCAATAATCATTGAAAAATTGAACTGAGAAATTTGGCCAATTAAATAAAATTTCTAAAAAGGATTCTAGATCTCATGTGATGCATTGGATCGATCTGAAATAGATTTAACGAGTTTCACTCTTAGAAGTCTTTTCCGTGACTCATTTAGGTTTGAGGTAGGGTTGGAATCGATTGTTCACTGGATTCCTGTCTTGAATGCAAATTTAAAATAAAATAACACATTATTGTGCGACTTTGATATATTGAATAAAAGTTACACTTTAATGTGTAAAGAATAAACCTATAAATGTAAGTTATCTATATATCTTAACATTCTTTGTTTGTACTTTTACATATTAAACGCGTAATTTTTCTTGGGTTTATATATTAATAACTGAATAGGCTGAAACAATTTTGCACTGTTGCGATTACTTAAAATATACTTAACACAACAGGCTGAAGTATGATTTATGAAAACAAATGCTGCAGTATTTCAAATTATCTTCATGTATTTTGCCACACATGTAAATGTTATTTTATCCAAAATAAAGCTGAGTGTATGCGTGGTTGTATGTAAATACGATACAGAGTGTGATATAGCACACTGTAAGTGGTGACATAGGATCTAACATCTATGCAGGATACAATTCGGATCACAGTATCGAACTCGTTTCGGTTTCATTTCCATTTCAGATGGAACATACCATGACACACGTGTTTATTTCTCATTTCGTGTTTCTACATAGTGCTTCGTTATGATTTATTAATGATGAATGTGAATACATGGGCAATAAATTATAATATTGAAATTATTTGTGATTCTGATCAGGAGTCAGTGTCTCTGGTGTTAAGTTCATCCGATTCTTTGAGCAGACTGGGAATTTTGTATTAATGATCTTTCTCAATAAGATTGATTATTTCTGTATGTTGCCAGTATTTAATAATACAAGAGATTGTGGATGATATTCCACACAAACTTAATCACTTCAAAATAGGGACTGTTAGATGTCTATTGCCAACATTTATCGACAATGAAATACTTGTATAAACGTTCCTGTGGTCATGATAGCGAGACAATGAAGCTGAAAGCTGAAGCCCTCCAAAGATAACTTTAGTTAAATTCTTACTACGCCAGGAACGGCTGTGTTTCGCTATACGGTTCGTAATAATGCAGTATATATAATATTGCTACATCTATATTTTTATAATGTTCAGTGATACAGTTTGAATGATGGAATCTTCAAGAATGCATTTTATTTCATAAATTCAATTTGCAGCCAGTGCCGCAGCTAAACTAAGAGCAGCTTCCCCAAGATGTCGCTCTCCTTTGCCTTCCCCCACTGGCATGAAACCACTGCCCCTCAGGAAGAGTAGCGAGGGGTGTCCATCAGATGGCCCGCCTTCCCCGGGAAGGACATTGAAAGATGATGATTCTGAAGACGACGACGAAGAGAGGCCAATGAAAGAAGGTGAATGTCAAAACAGCGAAGACGATGAAAAACGAAAACAGAGGAAGAAGAAAACTAGGACTGTTTTTTCTCGCAGCCAGGTTTTTCAGTTGGAGTCAACATTTGACATGAAACGTTACCTCTCAAGCTCAGAGCGTGCCGGCCTAGCCGCATCGCTACATTTAACTGAAACCCAGGTGAAAATATGGTTCCAGAATAGGCGGAATAAGTGGAAACGGCAACTGGCAGCGGAAATGGAAGCAGCTAATATATCCCAGCGTGCCTCTCACCGGATGGTGCGCGTCCCAGTGCTCTATCATGACAGTAACTTCTCAGGGAGTAGGGCGGACAGTCTACATAGCGGCTCACCCCCGCTCTCCTCCTCCCTGAATCCCCTGTGCTACCCCCACCCATACCCCTCAATCTCATCTCTCCGCTCTCTACACAGCGCGGTATGAAGTCTACATACCTGATCCTAAATCCCGTCAGTTCACGTGACGGAAGTGCTGGACGTTAAGTAACGCCAGGGCCAATCTCCAGTTTGATGGAGATTTTACGCAATTAAAAACTGATATGACCAGAATAAACCTTGACTCAGGCCCTCGTGCTGCACACCGACACTTACAAGATGGTTACAAGAGAGCAAAGGGACGGTCACCAAACTGTAGGAAATTATTCTCAGTTTATGATGGGTGCAAGTAACAAACTGTTAATCTGTTTAAACCCTGCATGACGTCCCTCGTCGGTGGCTTCCGTGAACTGAAATCAGGAGCTTTATTGATACCTTGGAGACACAGTGCAGTAACGCAATACACAGTTGTAGTATACATTTATTTATTGTATTAGTACCGAGACACCTGACTGTCTTGACCTGACTGAACTGCGAGCCACCACAGTGGCTCAGTTGAAGCTGATGCTATTGCTAAAGTCGTTAGAGAGATGGTGTCTATATGATGAAAATATTTGTGAGGAAAGTACTGTTGTTGTATATTTACATGGGATTGTTGTATATGAAATGTCAAAGTATAATAAAACATGCTTTGTATATTGAATTGTTGTATATTGGTGTGTTTTTTTTTGTCCATTCCTTTTCTACACAACTCCGAGGTGTATTAACATGAGTAAAGTTAGTCCCAGAAATACAAAGTTAACAATCCATGTTCACAAACATATTGATAACTGGAAAAAACAACCTACACTGTATTCTCTTTAGATAGTACTATCCCACTGCCTTTATCAACATGGATATTTGCTGGTCTGCTGCCTTTCATATAGATATTGGTGTAAGGATTGTACACGATGAGACGATTGTCAGGACAATAGTGTATGATAGGTGTTAGGATTTTACATGATGAGACGGTTGTCAGGACTTTTGTGTGTGAAAGGTGTTAGGATTGTACACGATGAGACGGTTGTCAGGACAACTGTGTGTGATAGGTGTTATGATTGTAAACGATAAGACGGTTGTCAGGACAGTTATGTGTTATAGGTGTTAGGATTGTACATGGATAGACAGTTGTCAGGACAATTATGTGTGATAGGTGTTAGGATTGTACACGATGCGACGGTTGTCAACACAATTTTGTGTGATAGGTGTCAGGATTGAAAACGATGAGACGGTTGTCAGGACAATTGTGTGTCATAGATGTTAGGATTGTACACGATGAGACGATTGTCAGGACAATAGTGTATGATAGGTGTTAGGATTTTACACGATGAGACGGTTGTCAGGACTTTTGTGTGTGAAAGGTGTTAGGATTGTACACGATGAGACGGTTGTCAGGACAACTGTGTGTGATAGGTGTTATGATTGTAAACGATAAGACGGTTGTCAGGACAGTTATGTGTTATAGGTGTTAGGATTGTACATGGATAGACAGTTGTCAGGACAATTATGTGTGATAGGTGTTAGGATTGTACACGATGCGACGGTTGTCAACACAATTTTGTGTGATAGGTGTCAGGATTGAAAACGATGAGACGGTTGTCAGGACAATTGTGTGTCATAGATGTTAGGATTGTACACGATGAGACGATTGTCAGGACAATAGTGTATGATAGGTGTTAGGATTTTACACGATGAGACGGTTGTCAGGACTTTTGTGTGTGAAAGGTGTTAGGATTGTACACGATGAGACGGTTGTCAGGACAACTGTGTGTGATAGGTGTTATGATTGTAAACGATAAGACGGTTGTCAGGACAGTTATGTGTTATAGGTGTTAGGATTGTACATGGATAGACAGTTGTCAGAACAATTGTGTGTGATAGGTGTTAGGATTGTACACGATGAGACGTTTATCAGGACAATTGTGTATTATAGGTGTTAGGATTGTACATGGATAGACAGTTGTCAGGACTATTGTGTGTGATAGGTGTTAGGATTGTACACGATGCGACGGTTGTCAACACAATTTTGTGTGATAGGTGTCAGGATTGAAAACGATGAGACGGTTGTCAGGACAATTGTGTGTCATAGATGTTAGGATTGTACACGATGAGACGATTGTCAGGACAATTGTGTGTGATAGGTGTTAGGATTGTACACGATGAGAAGGTTGTCAGGACAATTGTGTGTCATAGATGTTAGCATTGTACATGGATAGATAGTTGCGGGACTATTCTGTGTGATAGGTGTCATGATTGTAAACGATGAGACGGTTGTCAGGACAATTGTGTGTGATGGGTGTTAGGATTGACACCATGAGACGGTTGTCAGGACAATTGTGTGTGATAGGTGTTAGAATTGTACACGATAAGACGGATGTCAAGACAATTGTGTGTCATAGAGGTTAACATTGAACATGGATAGACAGTTGTCCGGACTATTGTGTGTGATAGGTGTCAGGATTGTACACGATGAGACAGTTGCCAGGACAATTACGTGTGATAGGTGTTAGGGATGTACACGATGAGACGGTTGTCAGGACAATTATGTGTGATAGGTGTTAGGATTGTACACGATGAGACGGTTGTCAGAACAATTGTGTGTGATAGGTGTTAGGATTGTACACGATGAGACGGTTGTCAGGACAATTGTGTGTGATAGGTGGTAGGATTGTACATGGATAGACAGTTGTCAGGACAATTGTGTGTGTGATAGGTGTTAGGATTGTACACGATGAGACGGTTGTCAGGACAATTGTGTGTCATAGGTGTTAGGATTGTACACGATGTGACGGTTTTCAGGACAATTGTGTGTGATAGGTGTTAGGGATGTACACCATGAGACGGTTGTCAGGACAGTTTTGTGTGATAGGTGTCAGGATTGTACACGATGAGACAGTTGTCAGGACTATTGTGTGTGATAGGTGTTAGGATTGTACACGATGTGACGGTTATGAGGACAATTGTGTGTGATAGGTGTTAGGATTGTACAATATGAGACAGTTGTCAGGACTCTTGTGTGTGAAAGGTGTTAGGATTGTACACGATGTGACGGTTATCAGGACAATTGTGTGTGATAGGTGAAAGGGATGTACACCATGAGACGGTTGTCAGGACAATTGTGTGTGATAGGTGTTAAGAATGTACACGATAAGACGGTTGTCAGGACAGTTTTGTGTTATACGTGTCAGGGTTGTTAACGATGAGACGGTTGTCAGGACAATTGTGTATGATAGTTGTCAGGATTGTACACGATGAGACAGTTGTCAGGACAATTACGTGTGATAGGTGTTATGATTGCACATGGATAGACAGTTGTCAGGACAATTGTGTTTGTGATAGGTGTAAGGATTGTACACGTTGAGACGGTTGTCAAGACAATTGTGCGTAATAGGTGTCAGGATTGTACACGATGAGACGGTTGTCAGGACAATTGTGTGTGATAGGTGGTAGGATTGTTCATGGATAGACAGTTGTCAGGACAATTGTGTGTGTGATAGGTGTTAGGATTGTACACGATGAGACGGTTGTCAGGACAATTGTGTGTCATAGGTGTTAGGATTGTACACGATGTGACGGTTTTCAGGACAATTGTGTGTGATAGGTGTTAGGGATGTACACCATGAGACGGTTGTCAGGACAGTTTTGTGTGATGGGTGTCAGGATTGTACACGATGAGACAGTTGTCAGGACTATTGTGTGTGATAGGTGTTAGGATTGTACACGATGAGACGGTTGTCAGGACAATTGTGTGTGATAGGTGTTAAGAATGTACACGATAAGACGGTTGTCAGGACAGTTTTGTGTGATACGTGTCAGGGTTGTTAACGATGAGACGGTTGTCAGGACACTTGTGTATGATAGTTGTTAGGATTGTACACGATGAGACGGTTGTCAGGACAATTACGTGTGATAGGTGTTAGGATTGCACATGGATAGACAGTTGTCAGGACAATTGTGTTTGTGATAGGTGTAAGGATTGTACACGTTGAGACGGTTGTCAAGACAATTGTGCGTGATAGGTGTCAGGATTGTACACGATGAGATGGTTGTCAGGACAATTGTGTGTGAAAGGTGTTAGGATTGTACACGATGAGACGGTTGACAGGACAATTGTGTGTGATAGGTGTTAAGAATGTACACGATGAGACGGTTGTCAGAACATTTGTGTGTGATAGGTGTTAGGATTGTACACGATAAGACGGTTGTCAAGACAATTGTGTGTGATAGGTGTTAGGATTGTACACGATGAGACGGTTTTCAGGACAATAGTGTGTGATAGGTGTTAAGAATGTACACTATGAGACGGTTGTCTGAACATTTGTGTGTGATAGGTGTTAGGATTGTACACGATGAGACGGTTCTCAGCACTAGTGTGTGTGATAGGTGTTAGGATTGTACACGATAAGACGGTTGTCTCGACAATTATGTGTGATAGGTGTTAGGATTGTTTATGGATAGACAGTTGTCAGGACAATTGTGTGTGATAGGTGTTAAGAATGTACACGATGAGACGGTTGTCAGAACATTTGTGTGTGATAGGTGTAAGGATTGTACACGATAAGACGGTTGTCAGGACAATTGTGTGTGATAGGTGTCAGGATTGTTCACGATGAGACGGTTGTCAGGACAAAAGTGTGTGATAGGTGTCAAGAATGTACACGATGAGACGGTTGTCAGAACATTTGTGTCTGAAAGGTGTTAGGATTTTACGCGATAAGACGGTTGTCAGGACAATTGTGTGTGATAGGTGTTAGGATTGTACACGATAAGATGGTTGTCAGGACAATTATGTGTGATAGGTGTTAGGATTGTTCACGATGAGACGGTTGTCAGGACAATAGTGTGTGATAGGTGTCAAGAATGTACACGATGAGACGGTTCTCAGGACAATTGTGTGTGATAGGTGTCAGGATTGTACACGATGAGACGGTTGTCAGGACAACTGTAAGTGATAGGTGTTAGGATTGTACACGATGAGACGTTTGTCAGGACAATTGTGTGTGATAGGTGTTAGGATTGTACACGATGAGACGGTTGTCAGGACAATTATGTATTAGAGGTGTTAGGATTGTAGATGGATAGACAGTTGTCTGGACTATTGTGTGTGATAGGTGTTAGGATTGTACACGATGAGACGGTTGTCAAGACAATTGTGTGTGATAGGTGTTAGGATTGTACACGATGAGACGTTTGTCAGGGCAATTGTTTGTGATAGGTGTTAGGATTGTACACTATGAGACGATTATCAGGACAATTGTGTGTGACTAGGTGTGAGGATTGTAGATATTTATACAGTTGTTAGGACAATTGTGTGTGTTAGGATTATACATTATTATACAGCTGTCAGGACAATTGTGTGTGATAGGTGGTAGGATTGTATATGATTTAGACAGTTGTCATGACAATTGTGTGTGATAGGTGTTAGGATTGTACACGATGAGACGTTTGTCAGGACAATTGTGTGTGATAGGTGTTAGGATTGTACTTTGTTAGACAGTTGTAACGGCAATCGTGTTTATGATAGGTGTTAGGATTGTACACGATGAGACGGTTGTAAGGACAAATGTGTGTGATAGGTGTCAGGATTGTACATGGTTAGACAGTTGTTACGGCAATTGTGTTTATGATAGGTGTTACATGATGAGAAAACCTTTATTACTTGATTCATGGAG